ATTAGCACACATGTCAGCAGCGTACACCCATGGGCAAATAGTAGACGCTAAATTAACCAATCAGAGCGCGCGCTTTGCTTTAGTTATGTTATAAAACCTATTAAGGCTGGTTTTCACTAGAACATAAGCACAAGCATAAGCATAAGCATAAGCACAATTGAAAACAGGCGCGACATAAACATAAGCATAAGCTGAAACATAAGAAGAACGAACCCACTTATTTGCCTTGTGCAGTTTTCACTAGTAACGTGCTCGACATAAGCATAAGCACAAGAAAAACGGAACTGTTCGCTTTTCTTGTGCTTATGCTTATGCTTATGTCGAGCGTGTTACTAGTGAAAAACTGCACAAGACAAATGAGTGGGTTCGTTCTTCTTATGTTTCTGCTTATGCTTATGCTTATGTCGCGGCTGTTTTCACTTGTGCTTATGCTTATGCTTGTGCTTGTGCTTGTGCTTATGCTCTAGTGAAAACCAGCCTTTAGGAATTAAAATGTGCGGAATACACGAATTGTTAGCTCATGACAAGATGGTAAAAGTGAATTTCATGTTTTCCTTGTGAAATCATATTTTCTGATTTCACTGAATACGAATTTGTTGTGATCTTATCACAGACGTGCAGTAGAAAATTTTTTCGGCGTATTCGTGGTTTGGGCGGTGACGGGAAGGGACAGAGAATGGGGGAGAGCGGGGAATTTATCGAGACATCCGAGGACGTGAGATCAGGGAATAATGAAAAAAACTCTGATAACATTGCGTCATTGTGTTTTTCCAAGAAAATTTCTGAAGAGGAAAGAAATATTGAGCAGAAGAAAAAAATCTGGGAAGTTAGAAGTTTAGACTCTCCCAGTTTCCCTTTCCAATCGTTCAAAATTCCAAAATAGCGACATAATGAGCGTGAAAGTAATAAAGCCACATTTCTCCTTAAAATTGTCTCAATGTAAAAACTCTCCCAACTCGCCCAACTAGTAAGGAATGAATGGAGAAAAGGAAGGAGATTGTGGGATGACATTAAGAGCTTTAGAAAATAGCCCAAGGAAAATACGTGCGCTGATTGGTTTAAAATCGTGCTTTTATAACTCGATAAAAACATAGAACTAGCACGAGCTGTTGACGTAATGGTGGCGTGGCGCGAGCTGAGAGAATTTACCTTTTGATTATCAAAGTAAACAAGATATTTTTCCTTTTCTTCGTCCCGGAATTTTCTGAAGGAAATAGAAAACATGCTCTCCGCGTTTCTATCGAGTTTTAGTATAAATTGTAGATAGTGAGTAGCGCAACAGTATGCGCTTGGCGACCGCTTCTTTGCGTTTTCCAGGTGTCCGTGAAGAGAATTTGGATTAAGTGTTGAACGACTAGTAGATTTATACTAAAATAATAAGATTATTCGCTCTCGATTTCTATAGTTGACTTGGTTGCGCCCTCGCTCATCAACTATCACGCGTTATAGTTCGCTACTAAATTTTCTCCGATTCTTATTGGTTTAAACTGATCATGTGACGCGATAGTGTTCATCCGCGGAGAGACACTGTCAGCCCATAGTGCCCGTCCGAAAAAAAATACCCGGATGGATAGTATTCCGTGAAAATGTTTTTGTAAACATGCGGGCTTCTTGAAAACAAACAACTGAAATTGTATTAGTGGGTTTTGTTCTGTTTTCCTTTTCAAATTTTACATTTGGCTTTCACGGCTTTCATCCAAAACATTTGAAAATAATTCAATACGAGTTTCGAGCTGGCGCGCGGAAGAAAATTTAGTGGTGAACAATAAAGACAACAGAGTGTTTCTGTCGAGGGACTATCGGCCTGATAGTCCCCTTGGAAATTTGATGTTCTTAAAACTAGCATATTTGCTCTCGAAGCTACGCTTCTCGGGCAAATATTTGTTTTAGGAAGATCAAATTTCCGCGGGGCAACTATCAGCCGATAGTTCCTCGACAGAAACACTCTATTGTTTAAATAGAAACCGCGAGATCATAATCTAATTGTTTAATAGAAACACTGGTGATAGTTTGGGACAACTCGTAAAAGCTTTGGAAACACTCGCCTGTCAACTTGTGTCTCCACAACATTTCTCGTTCTCTCGTTCCCCCGTTCTCTCTTTCTCTCGATCTCCCTATTTAACAATTAGATTTTGAGCTCGAGATTTCTATCGCGTGATAGTTGACGAGGGCACAGCCCGAGTTCGACTGTCAGGCATAGAAACAGAGAGGTTGTTTTAGTATAAGTCTACTAGTCGTTCAAAATGTTATCTAAATCCTCTGCACAGACAGTTCAAAAACGCAAAGAAGCGGCCGCCATTTTGTTGACAAGCGCTCATTGCTAGACTACTCACTATCTACAACAGAATAGATAGTGAGCAGCGTAGCCAATCAGAGAACGGCATGCGTGATAGAACGCTAGTAGATTTATACTGAAACTCGATAGAAAACGGAACATGTTTTCTAATTCTTAAAAACATGCATGTTCAGAGGTGAATCTCGTTAAGCTATCTGAAATAAAACACATTGTTTACAAAAGCGATATCAGTTGGAGTTCTTGTTATTGTTTTAGTGAATCGTATTTTTGCCGCTTCATCAACTGAGGCCTATGTTGATGTTCTTAGTCGCTCGCCGCCGAACGCTAAATTGCCCGATGCAGCAGAGTAGGCCTGGGTAATACGCGAATAAGCAATACAAAATTTGCGGCGAGTAGGGGTTGGATTTTTGAACAGGTTTAATCCTATTCCTTTTTTCCATTGCCATAGATTAAAGCATTAAAATAATTGCAGGTCAATTACTGAGCGAACTTGAAGTGATCTAACTTCGTCTCAGATCCTCGACGACCAGGCGTGCAGGCCGGGATCTGGGTACGAAGTTGTATGTGCGGTGACTGCGCATGAGCTGTATAAAATTTTCAATGGTGGACTGGCCACCAGTCTCGAATTTGTTTGAGTCTGAAGAGGCGAAGAACTGAAAATATTTATGACCTTCCTTCGATAACGCGTTAAAGGAATCGTTCGAAGGAGCGTTCATTTCTGAAGGAAAGCATTACGCACTTAATGACTGACCCCAAGGGAAACAGTGAGTTTTGCTTTCCCGAGACCCGCAATGTTCCCCTCGGCTTCGCCTCGGGAGCATTGAGGTCGAGGGGAAACAAAACTCACCGTTTCCCGCGGGACCAGTCATTAAGTGTTTTGATATACTTCCCAACTCAAAAATAGAAAAAAATGCGAAATAATCGCTTGCTTGACTCCGGCTGGCTCACAAATTTGCCGCGGTTTTAAGGAACACGACCTGATCACGTGCGAGTCGAAAGTTCAAGTTGTTGTTTCCCTGCGGAGTTAGTGAGTTTTGACCCACGACACGTGACACGTTCTCCTCCAATCGGAAAACGTATTTGAGTTGGGAAGTATAACAAATAAAATTACAGCATCTCTCACACGCTTTAGGACTTGCTACTTTACACTCAAAATATTGAGCAATATACGGATTCGGCTAACATCCATCTGGTTGCCATCCAATTCAGGTCATGTGATGATTCATTTAGGAGGTTACAACTGTTGTGTTTGCACACACTCGACATGCAATCACCAGTTGCGTGTGGCAAATTGCACAACTGTAACATCACGTGGTCTGAATTGGGTGGTAACAAGAATCTAAAACGCTAGCCGAATACGTCTATTCCATGGTATTAAACATTCGCAAATAGCTATTTCTTTCCTTGATCATAAAGGTCTCAAACTAAGGAAAGTTAATTTTGCTGAGATCTGAACTAAATATCCTGCCTTCCCAACCCGCTAACGCAGGGTCACCGACTTTTTGTGCTTATTACGAACACACAGAAAGGCCAAATACGCCAGCATTTTATGCTTCAAACGATTTTTGTACCGCTTTATAAATTCGCAAAGCCGTGAATTGATTAAATCCAGTTTGCGTGACAGATGGCAAATTTTCTAACATAATCAGTCAACGTCTAATTCGCAAGTAAAAGGGTAACTCTGCATGCAACTAAATCTAATGATACATCGAATATGGGAAATTAATGGCTCATTAATTTGGGAGCGATCTTACTCAAGTGCTGAGCCGAGGCAATTCAGAGACACAAATTATAATAAACTCGGCACGAGAACGGTTTTTAACTGATCTCCCTTTTTGTTAAGTTTCTTATAGACTGTAATGCGAAAATCTCTCAAAGATTATAAAATGCTGAATATGAGAAATCACAGAATCTGGGAATTTGAGGTAAATTTCGAAGTGTTCCCGCCCGCTTCAACCCTCCGGCCTATCAAGGCTTCTTTGACGACAGAGAAACACAAATAAAATACAAAATGAAAAACTGTTGCTTTTTTTCCGTTTAGCTGACTTAAACAAAGCGCCTTGAATAAAACATTTCGAATATGTCACTGTTTCGTTCGCATGTTTACCCAAAGGGACATTTGCTTTTTTGTTTTTTGTTTTTTTTTTTTGTTAACAGAAATGGAGTTGATCATTAAATATCTTTTTTAAAAAAGCATACAATCAAAACTAACCACTTGTTTCAAGGCAATAAGCATTGCGATTTTTCGATTCATTCTGTAAGCATGTCTTCTATCATGTCCGGATTATGGTAAGCTCATATGATCTATGAATGACTTTGTTTGTCCTTAAATGTTAATTCAGCTTTCATGAGCTTTTTGGTTTCACAAAAAAACTGAATACTGATTCAAAGTGAATCATTTTAGTTTCATCGCGTGTTTTTCACTCGGTGAAATCCAGTTTAGTTTTTGTTATCCGGAATGTAGCAAAATTCTCGATGAAGTGCTTTTTGTTGGTTTTGCTTAGTTAATACAAATTCAGCGCGTGGTTTGAAGTTTTACATTCATTCATCCATCGCGAACAAATTGTTACAAGAACGAGTGCCAGGTTATGTCAGCGCACTACGGATGTTACAAATAAAAAGCTTTCTGTCCCTTTGATCTTTTCTTTATGCAAATGAATCGTTTGGAAAACAATTGGTAGCTGCATTGGGACAAATTGAGGCCGAGTAACCAGTAACACAAAACACAGCACCTGCGAGGTTTAAAGACAAAGAGAACGACAAACAAAGGAACTTCACTCTAAACTCGATCAGAGCAAGGAGATTTTTAAACAGCTGTCTTAGAACTGACAAGGGATATCTGCTTAAAAAACGAGGCGTTGCTTTGTATTAAATTCAGCCCATTTTAGGATGTTTTTCTTTGAAAAGACGCCATTAGCCGTGAGTAATAACGCAATTATCAAACAACATCTTTCTGTCGCCGCACCTGTTACAACGACCAAAGAAAACCATTTGTATACGGCGGGAAATTGACATTTGATGTGTCACGTTCGCCATCGGTCAACAATCGTTTAGGGGTGATTGCGAATAAGTGTTTGCCAAACTAAATGATAAACAATCTCGGAACTCTTTGTGTTTTAGAGGCAGGTGGTGATCAAAAATGCTAATAGAAAATGACAGATCTTGGATGTTAGAAGAACAAGAAAACATCGCTCTGTGAAGCGAGCAAAACGAAACCAGGTGTTTAGACACATCACACTCATTGGTGACAGCGCAAGCTACGAGGCAGGCATAACATTGTGAAGCCGTAAAAATCGTCCTGCTTTCTGGCCAAGACATAAAACGTTATCAATCACAACGAGAAAGCCGCAAATTAAGGGCACCAGGCGCGAAAAATCCTTCATTTAAACGTGTTTTTTTGAGCTCCATGTGTGATATTACTGTGATAAAAACGTCGGTATATGGGCAGTCCATGGGATCATTAAACTACAGCGCTGCTCCACGACAAGAACCGACGAAAGACCTGATCGCGGAAACAGAAGAAGCGCCTTTGGAAGAGGAAAATGAAGAAAACATGTCTAGCGGAAAAAAGAAGAGATGTCAGGGTGGTAAAAAGGCCCGCTCAAAACTCAAGAAGGCACTGTCGTGGAGGCAGTCTAACAGGTCTCGACGACTGATTGCCAACGCTCGAGAGCGCTCGAGAATTCACATCATGAGCGAGGCTTTCGAAGGTTTGCGAAGAGCTGTTCCGTGTTACTCCAGCGATCAGAAGCTTTCCAAGCTAGCGATTCTGAGATTGGCTACGAGTTACATCTCGGCGCTGTCGTATTTGGCTGAGAACGATACATCAACAAAATCACTTAAACATTTCGCTGAGTGCGTGGACCAATGTACGCAGGCACTTCAAACTGAAGGCAGAGCGAGGCGGAAAGAGTGAGTATGCAATAATTTTTTCTGCCTTAAAAACACACCGAACGAATACAATTTTTGCTTTAAGGTTATAAGTTATATTTTTAAAACATCGCTAGGAAAATGTGTTAGGATATGCGAGTACAAAATCGCTACAAAAAATTTAGGCGAAAGACACGATTTCTTAAATAGGTCGTAATTCGAAATTTACCGAAAATGATCTCATTTTACTTTGAATAATCCCCACCTTTTATATATTTTCGCCACGCAGAAAATATATATCTATATGTACATTTATAGGTCCAATTTTGTGCTGTTTATTAGCCTGATCTTGAAAGCTTGTGCAGCAATTTTGTATCAGGAAATGTATTGTGTTTAATAAACGGGAAATCTACAAACAAGGTTTGAGCGAAAAACACTAATCACGGTTGGAAGAAAATGCGAGCTCTCATCTAGGCTCTTTAATGCGCTTTCATCTATTGATCTCAAAACGCCGAGAAACCAGAATCGAATTCACTTAGTAACACCTGGACTCCTGTTGAAGTAAACTTCTTTTTTGTTGTATATTAAAACTCCGGCATCAACCAATGAAATGGCTGGGGGTATTGAAACAAAGGAGCACTAATTTGGACGAGTCCACCTGCTTTGCAAACACATTGTAGAAAATTGAAGAAGTAATAAATCTTAGCGAATGAAAATGGGATTGTGCCAGAAATCCGCAGTCGGGGGATGTTTATGAATATTGACAGGCATCAGATCGGTTCGCGAAAATTATTCATTATTCAAAGCTACAGGAAATCTCAAAAGATCTCTTGCTTCAACGTGATCAGGGATTCTGAAAATCGTGCGTGACAGAGTTTTTGTTAAATTGGACAACGAGTGAGGAATAATACAGCCTTAAAGACAAAGGACTTATCCGCGTTAAACGCATTTGAAAACAAGAAAAGGTTGACATGATTTAATTGCGTTATATTTTTTTCTCCCACAGGGCGAAAAAGACAGTCAATGAAGGAATAATTACAGAAGTGTTGGAATAATTTATTCATAATTTGTTTGGACCGGAAAGGCAGATGTCTCCTGTCGCGACAGAAAGAGTAAAAACAGAGAAATATGGAATCAACTTACAAAATATACATTATGCCATCAAAACGAATAAATTATCTTACTTTATGAGAATAGCTCAATTTCGAAAAAAATTTATTTATTTTATTTGTACATATTAAAGCTGCAAAAAAGAAAAATGTTACAAGCTGGAGAGGCTAAAAAATAATAAAAAAATTACTCGATTAATTCGTCTGACTTAGTCCATGCCTCTTTTTAAATGCTAGTTTTTCTGGAGGCGCACCAAGACAGTATCTTCTCAGTAGTTGATTGTTTACCTCATTCTCCACACCATTCTACCTGACTCTGCATTGATATATTGTAAGGAGATTTAAGTTGCTGATCTCCTTAGGACCTTAACGTAACAGCGTACAACCGAATGGTTCTTGTATCTCATTTGTTGGTCTGGGATCGTTGTCTATATTTTTAATTAACTAATTTATTAAAAGCAATGCCATACTCTGAATAACAGAAACGGCGCGCGAGTCGGAGCAGTGCGACACGCGTGGTGAGTGGCTTGCGTGTCTGTGTCCACGCGCGTGTTCTCGCTCTCGTTGTCCTTGCTCTCTCGTGGCTCGCGCACCCTCCGACTCGTTCAAATGCAGTTTATCAACCGTACGTCTGCTACGCAGCTCAGACCAGAAATTCCATTTTCCGTCAAGAAGAGTCAAATGTCCGCCTTGCCCCAGCCCCAGAAGACGAGTGTTTGGGTGACATAAAACCACCTGTGCGCTCAAATATTCGCGGGAATTTGCACACCGACTTGTTAAATGTATTATAAATGTCATTCTTGACATTAGATTCTAGTCTCGGTGTGGCAAAGCTCATTATGCTTCAACCTCGTTCTCAGGGTCTCATTTCTCCGTCAAGACCCTAGGAACGAGGTTGATTGGTTGTTTAATCAAGCTAACACGAGCCGCGAAGAGACTGGAAACTGAGAATGTAAAGAAACCGTCTCACCCCAGTTCTCTCGCGGCTCAAGTTTGAGAAAAAACACCATCTACACTACTTATACTCTAGACTATTTAAACACACGTGGCCATCACGTGTTACGAGGTATCCACGTGATCAACAAAAACACAGAATGATCATGTGATCGGGCTCCGCGGAATTTCAAAAGTTTTCAACCTCTCACCGCACCCATTTTAATGGCGGTTTATGAAAAATAATCTTAAATTTTATACAGAACTCGGTATGTTTTGCGAAAAAGAACAAAAAGAAATAGCATAATAGCAGGTCACATTTTCAGTATATATTCATTTGAAAGCGGATGGCTGAGTTAAAGCCGAGTTTCACGAACGTGGCGGCGTGGAAGAAAATTGTGGGGTTGATGCCTCTACTCTCTCAAGCAAAATCATGGGGAAAAAATTCAAATTTTCATTTTGTTTTCTTTCGTCTCCTTCTGATTTCCTTTTGATTACAATCAATCAAATTTGATTTTGTGATAGAATCTCAAGATTCAGGGAAAATTGTGAATCTCTGAGTCGTGTTTTCTCATAAATGACATTTCTTTACAATTACTTTTCGTTACGGTTTATGGCAAGCTCCGAGCCATACCTACTAAAACACGATAGAGCGGTTTTCAATTGAGCTTCGCAAAACCAAAACCAAAGTAATTACTCTGGCCAATCACATAGGACACAAACAATCCAGCGAGCCAATCAAAACTCGAAGCAAATATAAGCTGACGCAAAACGCGAGAAAACGTGTGCGAACGAATACGTCATATTCGTATTCTCGGTATTGGACTGGAACTAACTTGCAATGGAGGCTCATACGGGGGAATACACCGATTTTGAATCACTTACGCCAACATTTTAAAAATTTTCTTGCAGCAGTTAGAGTTACGGAAGAAGATTCAGGCGCCTCGATGTTACCACCATCCGCCATTTTGGGGAATTGGTGCTTTAGCGTTTTTAGTGATATTAAGTATATTTTTCAAGTGAGAAATTGTTGAGCTGGATTGTTTCTTGCATAGAAATAAGAATTGTGTTAAGAGATAGCGAGGAAAACAAAGGGCTAAGCAAAAAAAGTTATCAATATATCTAGATATCCCTAAATTTTCTAAATATCTTAGCCTGTGACCAAACACTACGGCAAAAACCCGCCTAAGGATATATTTCAACGTAAATTCTACACAAAACTTACCTATCTTCAGTTTTGGGCTGACAAATTTTACAAAACCCAGTACCAGCTGATAGTTTTAGTACATAGAGTATGATTGATAATCTGAGAATGTTCAAAAGAAAAGACATTCAGGCATATTACATCAAACGCCGGACACCTTCCCTTGCCAATGGACTCAAATCCAACAGAGAACTCTATCTTTTCTCGCGACTGTTGCATTTTGTTTCATTGTTATTAACACCGTATTTAATAGCTACCTTAATAGCTATTTTTTTGTCTGATGATGGCATAGTTCTTACTAAAGTATAACTTCTAGTTTTGCCAATTGTTGTCTGAATTTCGACACCGGCAACGAATATTCTCGGATTATAAATCGTTCTAAATATCACAAACCTGACGCACTTTTCCCCTTCCTCGCCTCGCGAAGAATTACCTAGCATTGCGTAATATCAAAGTATCATAGCTTTGAAACAGAGACCAATCTGAAAGCCGCTTACTCGAACGGAAAGATCAAAGGGTGCTTTCGTAAAAAACCGTAAACATTGTGTAACCGTGGCAACTAACAAACACTGAGGGCCTGTTTACATGAAGGGAGGGCGCCCCGGCTAACCGGGCTAACCGGCTAACCGAGCTACCCCGGAAGGGCTAACTTTTCATACGTTTCTTTAGAAAACGCATTGAAGCGTTTACATGCTAGACAGGGTAGCCCGCCTACCCGGTGCACCCTGTGTACTTGCCCGGGGCACCCGGCTAGGCGGGATAGCTTTTTACCATGTTAACGGTTCGTGCCGGGCTATCCCAGCTAGCCGAGGTGAGATAAACCGCGAAAACATGGCGGCGTGAGGTGCATTTTTTCGTAGTAACCATTAACATAACAATTAAACTTGCCGCCAAAAAGTTTCTTTGGTCGGCCATTTTGTTTGTTGTGCTTAGCGGCCGCTCAAAAGATAGCCCACGCAGCCCACTCACTGTCCCGGTGAGGTGAGTTGCATGTAAAGGCGGGCTTTGTGTCAACCCTTCTAGCCGGGCAGCCCGGTTAGCCGGGGTACCCTCCCTCCATGTAAACAGGCCCTTAGTTTGCCATCGTTGACAACGTTGTTGTGCTTATTGATTTCACCTGGCAACGAAAAGACTCTTAATTAAAAAGCACAACAAAACATGGTGTTTCCTTGGTAGCTAATTACCAACAAATATAAACAAACATAGCGTTGGCAGCGTTCGAGTCAATTAGTTAAATTGTTATTGATTTGACCGTGTAAAGAAAACACTTCCAATTTAAAGGCATTACAAAACACGACGTTACCTAAGTAACTAATTAACAACATAAATAAACACAGCATTGAGTAGCAACGCTATATTAGCAAGGTTCTTAATAAAAAAAAAATGGTTTTGAAATGAAACATTTTGAAGCATGGCTTTAAAATGAAATGGCCATTTGGAAAACAGCCTGTTACAATGGAAAGGTGAAAGGGTATTTTCGCGGATCGCTTCCGCCCTGAACACTATGATTTCGGTAATACAGCGTAAGGTGTCAATAGCATAATTGCTGTTCATTTGAGCGTATTAAGACAACACTTACAAATTAAAAGCACGACGAGACATGACGATTTCTAAGTACGTAATTAAAAAACCCTAATTAGGTGTGAAACGAAATGACCGATGGGATAGCAATCTGTTACAAAGAAAAGATTAAGGATGTTATGTTATGAATGCACGTTGTGTTACCTAAGTGAATGATAAACATGTTATGCTGTTACTTCGCTACAGAAAGATGTAGTGGGGGAATGGGTCGAGAGAGTCCTTATAAGGCTGAAACTCTTACCCTTATAAGGAATTACCCCACCCAATTCTCTGCCACGTCTTTCTATAGCACAAAAGCAGCATATGTTTACAAGTCGTCCAGGTAACACAATGTTTTCAAAAACATACTTAATCTCCCACATAGCAATAAACGTCAAGACCTTTTCAATTTTCCCGTAGTGACCACGTCAAAACGAGTTTGTTCATGAATATCAGGTCCTCTAAACTCCGAGAGGAGCATTGTACTTTGCTCTACAAATCTGCAGCTTGCACTGTATCAAAACGATGTCCAAAGCTGGACAAACATGTGGTATGTTGCTTTGCGTGTTAATCAAAAGTCCTTCAAACGTCTGTAGCAGAAAGACAACATAACATGTTTACCAGTCGTCAAGGCAACACAACGTCATGACTTTTTCTTTGCCGTAATGGCCTCGTCAAAACGGGCTCAGTTGATGAATATAAGAACCACTAAACTCTGAAAGAGATTCATACTTCGCTCTACAAGTCTAACGTTTGCTTTTAATCAGAAAGTTTGAGGTCCAAAGCTGAACAAAAATGGGGTGCGTAGCTTCGCGTGTTAAACAAAAGTTCTCGAAAGAACAATCAGTTAAACGTCTGCGCAAGAGTACACTTTACGCTGAGAAATTGAAAGAAAACAGCTTACCAGCAAGAATTCCACAAAGATGTCGTATGGCAATCATGAAAGAGATGGGGAAAGAGCTACGACGGTTATCACCTGAGGTTGAATTCTAAAGACACTGGCAAAAAGAACCCAACGATATCTGCCTTGACAGAAGAAATGAAACGTTGAAAATGCCAACCCAAAAGCTCACGAACTAACAGATTGAAACAGACAAAAAAAAAAACGCAACGAACTCTGCTTCGACAGAAGAAATGGCGACCCAAAAGCTCAGGAAGTAATAGAATGAAACAGACCAAAAAACCAACGAACTCTGCTTCGACAGAAGAAATAGCGACCCAAAAGCTCACGAACTAAGAGATTGAAACAGAGAAAAATAACCAACGACCCCTGCTCTGATAGAAGAAATGGCGACCCAAAAGCTCATGAACCAACAGATTGAAGCTGACGAAAAACCAAAGATTTCTGCCTCGACAGAAGCAATTTGGACCCAAAAGCTATCGAACTAGCACATTTAAACAGACCGTCAAAAAACCAACGATTTCTGCTTTAAAAGAAGCTCGCGAACTAACAGATTGAAGCTGACTACTTTGAATACTTTCAAACGGGGTCCCCAAGGGTCCCCGACCCCTCTCCTCTAGATCCGTCAGTGTGTAGTTTTGTAGCTTGGTATAACGTGCTACAAAGCATGTTATCAAAATTTTCTTTATGTGATGAGTATGCTTGTATTATGATTCTCAATGGGGCAATAAGATCCTTTAAAAAAGCTCCTGGTAAATGACACACAGCTCAACGAAGTCTATTTCAATCGAAGTTTTCGTCGTGTAAATTGATGTAATTTTAATGGTCTTGTTTCTCACTCTGACTTGACAGGCAAAATTGTCAAGTGTCTATTTTGTGACTTAATTTGAATAAACTTAACTAGGGATGGACCCCTCTAAAAACTCTTGTGTTTTCTTTCATATATAATAAAGATGTTTTCTGTTGATGGCTTGCAACCAATCCCGAGATATGGAAGTGACTTAACCTCGTTCCCAGGGTCTTTTCCCTGGCTTGGGCCCCACCCCCAAGCCAAGGAAAAGACCCTGAGAACGAGGTTGCAAATGACTAAGAGCTACTAAGGCGTGGCGGCCATGTTGGATGACGCAACAAAACAATATGGCGGAGATGACGTGACGTGAAATCAAGAATAGGCCATATTCGTATTCCCGGTATTGGACTGGAACTAGCTTGTAACTGAGGCTAATGTGGGAAGTCTTTTCAAATGCAAATGACATTAATCTCTTTTTAATGATATTCGTCCGTATGAGCCTCCATTGCAAGCTAGTCCCAGATCAATACCGTGAATACCAACATGGCCTATTCCGGTGCTGGGAGATGTGCAGGAATAAAATATGGTTCAAATTCCGCCAATTAAACCCTGAAATAGCAGAATATTTTAATTGCCAGTTGACTTTCTTTTATCAATTCTCAAAAAACGAATGGCTCTAACAGCTGATCACACTTGGCCAGTTTCCATGACAACATACTAATACTGGAATCGTCGCTGACGTCATCCTTTACATTTTCCAGACAACTTTGGGTGAAGAAGTATCATGCTAGAAGCGAATTGATTCCAAACAACGTTTAAAGAAGTTGTGAAACTTAGTCACTGGTGACGTTTTTAACTCTTCGGGCGTATTTCTGCATGTGTGTCAAATGCGCTGTTAGAAAATAGCCCAATAAAATCCGCGTGCTGATTGGTTTTAACTCGTGTTTCCATTTAACAAAGAGATTATGAGCTCGAGATTTCTATCGCGTGATAGTTGACGATGGCGCAGCCCGAGTCAAAAAACACACGAATAATCTAATTGTGTTAGTATTAAATTTACTAGACGTTCAAAACTAAATTCTCTTCACAGACACTTCGAATACGCAAAGAAGCGGCCGCCAGTTTGTTAACAAGGGCACACTGCTAGGCTACTCGCTATCTACAACAGAATAGATAGTGAGTAGCGTAGCCAATCAGAGAACAGCATTCGTGATACAGTGAAGCCTGTATTAAGCGGACACCTTTGGGGTACTCACTAGTGTCCGCTAATACAGGTGTCCGCTCTAAACAGCTTCTAATATATTGTGCAATAATAATTACTTATTAAACCGTTTGTAACACAGTCTCACACAGTGTAATTAAATACTGCTCATAGCACAATGCCCAGTCAGTCAATGCATCAATCTGGAATAATCTACTTAGCTTTAAAACGACATCGCTGAACAATGTTAAACTGAGGAGTCTGAGCTGAGCTTTTAGAAGTAAAAAACCCTTGAAGTGTCCGCTTATTGCAGGTTTTTGTGTAACAAAATGGCTTAATATTGGTGTCCGCGTCCGCTTTACAGAAGCAACCGCTAAATGCAGGTTTATTTTACAGTTAATGTGGGAAGAAAGTTTAGGGACTCAAGCTGGTCTCCACTTAATAGAGGGTGTCCGTTTCATATGGGGTCCGCTTAATACAGGTTTCACGGTAGAACGCTAGTAGATTTATACTAAAAATCGATGGAAACACGGTACATGTTTTCTATTTCTTACATCATGTAAGTATCAGATAGTAGACAATGCTTCTGATTGGCTAATTGCGAATTCAGGTACGGCACGGTAGAAAATCAACAAGGAGCTTAGATTAAATAAAAGCAAATCAGAAAAGTTCAGATTGAACAAGACTGAAATGGATTATGAAAGATGAAAGTGGTAAAATTACGCAACGGTTTTTAGTACGTTGCCAGTAAGGCAACGAAAAGCGCTCATAATCACCTCAGTTTTTCGTTGAATAAAATGACCTTAGCACGAAATTGTAGAAACACTTCTCAAGTTAAGCCCATCCGAAGCTCTCCATTGCAAACTTTCAAATATTAGGAAGCACCGACAATACGCCGCAGAAATTTGAAGATGCAGCATAATTTCTACGGTTAGGCCTACCGTCCACATTAATCCGTCACGAAAACGGAGCTTTTCGAAAACGCTCTTCAAACCGGAGGAATTTGAAAACGTCGGCTTTCCGTTTTAGTCTGGACGGAAAACATTTGAAAACGGAGCTTTTCGAAAACGATGACAAAACGATAATCATGGGATTTCCATGACTGAATTTTCCTCAAACACAAATCCAAAATGACCCGTGATTGTTGCGTTTTTAAATTACTCCGGCGTAGTGTGGACGAAAAACATTTGATGCGTTTTCACAGTGAAACCTCCGTTTTCAAATTCCTTCAGCGTAGTGTGTACGTGGACGGAACTTTAGTTCTAAGAATTTGGCAGTTAAAGACGAAAATTGATGATTTCCTTCAATCTCATTACCTGCCTTCGGACAATGTAGAGATTTTGTAAGGAGAAACTACACGTTGATATAACGACATTGGTGTGAGTGTTGTTAGTAAACAATGCTATCAGCGATACAATGTGACTCGCTCGCTCGCGTGTCTCTGAAAACACGTGGAATTTTGCGACGGTTAATTTTGCAAGCCCAGTTAAACAAAGAGAGCCAAACAAAGACATAAGGACAGCAAAAGAACTAAATATTGTTAACCAAGCTTTCCGATATATCGAATTTCGTTCACGGCTAGTACATTCCGAACTAACGTTTTTAACGTCTGAGACTTTCCTCAAATCCCACTTTGCTGTCATTCTGTCACAATTTTACAGGTTCCCAGGAGATATGTCGGATTGTGAACTGAATGTATTAATTAATCTTGATTTAATTGAACTGAATTTAGAACAAGTTTATATCGACTCCATTCAACTTTAACCTCACCTTGAGTTATGTAAGAGCCTTATTTAATATATCTACATGAAAATACTTAAAACAGTTATGAAAGTAACATTTCGGTTACTTGAGTGTGAGGCTACTTCGTAAACACTGTTTAATAGTAATAATAAGGGCACATTTTAACCGCTCGAATAGCACATGTCTATAACAATTACATTTTTAAATTCTCAATACAGCATTAATGTAACATTAGGAAAAGGGGTAACATAAAAGTCGTCAACTACAAGATAAGATGTTGTCTTGATGTGGTACAAAAGAAATTATAGCATCAGTTTGGAGAAATGAAATTTTGACTTTGTATCTCTGTTCCCAAGCAGCGCGAAAAGCTACTCCAGTGCGCCCACCCACTTCACATTGGAGGGTAAAAGGAAGAGTTTTCAAGACAACGATGTCTCAAATCGCTGTTTGTGATGTATCGTTTTGTTCTCCGCCCGCACTGAAATCTAAAACAGATAATCTTTGCGGAAAGCCACTTCAATGACGGCTGATTGACACCACAACAAAAGCGTTGTCTTCCGAGCACGCGCAACTTGGTAAGCGTGTGTGCATATTGTTATGTTAAAACGGCCCGGCTACAGCGCGTGCTTCACTGAGAGATAAGTTACGACACACAATAGCTAGCGAGCCGCTGATAGCCCCAGAACCGACCATAAGCGGGAAAGAAAAGAAAGCATCTGTGAAGCAGAGCATTTGTACAAGAGAAAAAAATGACAAAGGGAGTCGAAGACAAGCTTGCGAACGATCCACTTGTTTCGGCGAGTAAGGAAGTGAACACAGCCGACAACTCGAGATACCGAAAGTGGGCTCAACTGGACAGAAGCCGACGGTTGAAGGCGAGCGCTAGAGAGCGGAAACGAAGGCACGTACTGAACAACGCTTTAGAACTATTGCGGAAGAAAGTTCCATGCGTCGATCAAAACCCTCAAAAACTTTCCAAAATTGAGGTGTTGAGAATGGCAATTGATTACATCGCCATGTTAAGCTGTTATCTGAAAGGTTCGCAGTCCGCGGCCGTGCTTGCCGCGCAGCTACCGCCTGTTGAAGTAACAACCATCTCGCCCACAAGAACAGGAGCACCCAACCTTCTAATGCATGACCCTTCCGTCACTATAGTCGTGCCAAAAACAATGGACCAATTTCAGGTACAGCTAATAACCACAAAAGCGTTTCTTTAAAGTATTGTAAAATTTGAGTTAACTAGCTTACAATATTTTTTTCCACCCCCGCCCCAACATCTGCGAACTTTTGAATTTTGTTACTTTATTAGCTATTTTTTTCATCGAAACGGAATGAAAACACTGATTTTTTCTTTCTTGCCAACAGGTGGGAGACCACTACGGTATAAAAAGCTCGGAGTTGGACGTGTATTTGAAAGGGTTCCAAGAGTTTCAGTCCTAACCGATCTAATTTTAACTATCTGTACATATAAGAAAATCTTGTAGATATCCCATATACCGTCTTTCCCTTTTTGCAAAAAGTTGAATGTAATTTTTTAAATTATTTTATATCGCTGTAGTTAGACTTCAAGTAAAACGCAACAGCTTTTATTGACTAAAGTATCTTTATTATCTTGTACAGCTGTGTTCGTGTCAATATGTTATTGAAATAAATTCAATTATAAAAGTTGTTTTTAAACAAGTTGGTTTGTCTTCAATGCCATGCACGCCTGTGAGCACGGGCCAAATGGCCGCTGTACATAGCCACGCAAAAAGAAAAAAATGACGTTAATTTAATTTTCCTTTTGAGCGCTACAATTCGCGCCAACATTTGGCACCTTCAACCCCATTGATCAAAACAAACAGGAACTTTGCTTTGTAAGTTGATAAGCTGAAGGTTGTCGGTTTACCCGCGTACAATACTCCAAATGACCGCATGAACTTGGCGGCCTCATAAAACGACTTGTTCACTAAAACCCACGGCGAAATCGGAGATCCACAAAGACACTTTTTGAAGTCCGTTAAAGGCGACAATGGAGAGACTAATAAAAAATGTGCCTCGATTTTGAAATCGCTTAAATTAGGCGCCTAAGTGGAGTCTTTTGTCTGCTAAACACGTGTAGGATTATGATTGAAGTCGCATTGGGAACACGGAATCTTGCTCACATCCGACCACGCAGTTTTTAAAGCTAACAATCGTAACTATATTCTGAGCCGAGTTTTAAAATCAAGTGCAAGTTTCCCAGGCAAAAGTTAAGTTTCATGCGAGATGTTTTGGTCTTCACGATCTGAATACATCACCCGCATTCTAAACAATGCGCAACCAGAAAGAACGATTGAGATTTCAGAAGAGTTGTTTTTTGGAGAAAAACACTCACTGAATGAATGAAAAATCCCGTCGTCATTGAGGGTTTAATCTCAAAAGATTAGCTTTCGATTGATAAATGAAATCAAAGTTAAATTTCTGTTGCCGGAAAAACAGTTTACATTTCGTTTGCTAGCGAGTCCAACTACACGTGGTCGTGTAATCGAGCACAACAGAACAATGGAGACTTATTTAACGAAATTTCATTCTTTGCTCCGTCTCTTAGCAACTTGAAGTGAATCGTGCTCAACTGAGAATTAAACAGTCAGAGACGTTTTAGGCAGGACAAAAGGATGTCTCACTTGATCGTAAGGAAAATTCAACGCTAAACAACGCAACGGAAAGGATCGGGTTGAAAAAAAACTTTCTTCAGTAAAATTCAACCGCGCGGTGAAGAGCTTTGAAAACTATTCGAGTAGACGGAAAACAGTTTCAAAGTTTATCGTGTTTAGAAAGTCGTGTAACAAAAAAGTTTATATAACTAATGGAAGTTAGCTATCAAAAAACTGAAATCGCTTTATTAGATTTTGAACTTTCAATTGTGAATTCGTCAACTACTGTAACAGTATTTCGAAACGGATTCAACAAATTAGGAACTTTGAAAAATGGCGTTTCATTGCGTGAAGAAAAACTTTTGAACTGACTGAGAAATATTCACTGGATAATTTTACTTCAGTGATCTGAATAGGCCAAACCTAACCTTCTTTAGGTTTGAATATCTTTGCAGAAAAGTATGCATTTGACTTCAGGATGAAAAGTCGATATATTACCTCTTCTTAACCTCGCTCTAGATATTGCACCATCTTTGAAGATGGAGTTAAGGCCTTAAAAGAGGAAATGTAAACTGCAGAGCGAATATAAGTCAATTCAAACCAACTCAATTTGTCGAACAAAACAGAGTACCTGTATTTTATCAAACGAATGCCGTAAAGGGGGGAAAATAAAAGCTGTATCAAAGTTGCCGAAAGAGTGGTACTGTATGATACATTATTAGTTTTTGTTCGGGCATACAATATTAAGCGCGTGCGTGTGGCTAACCGAGTCGCTATGTTAAAACAGAAAGGCACATAGAAGTGTCTTTCGTGTCTGTAAATGCAATAATTAAGCAACGGTCATTGATATTTCCACGTGGCACGGCTCTTAATGAACTTGTTACAATATACACGTGTAGTTCAGCATTAAAATGTACACAATAGCATCGATTTCATTTCAGAAACCCCGTGAAAAAAACCGTGACAAGACTTCTTACTGGCTTCTTGTTAGTTCAACATCGATAATAATTTACATTGACTGAGGATGTAGATTTCGGGCATATCCATCTGGTGGTTGAGATTTCATTTTTTCAGTCTCTCGAGACCAGAAAACTCACGGCTGTACATTATCGTAGTGAATTATAACTGAATGCATTAGTTTTCTCATCAGAAATCAAGCTGGAAGCTAGATGTTTCTCGATTTCATATCAAACCAACCTCTGCAAGCTAAACCAACAAAATACCCATTCAAGATGAGTTAACATCGCGCTAAACTAAAAACGATATAAGTTTCGATTGGGAATCATAATTATCGCTTTCACAGATCATTTGAACGCCGATGGAAAACATAATTCGCCAGACACTGGTCGCTTGGTTTTGTGATCGGGCAAAAGCATCTACGATTGTCGAATTTGAACTCAGTCAAAACCTATTCTCGAAATTGCGTTTGAGAAAGAACAATTAAAAATTGGAAATGAAACATCGCAACTGAAACTCTTCAAGTTCTTCAGTACATTTCAGACGTCCGGTGATTCCTGACACTAATTAGAGTAAGTAAATTATCATTTGTAAATGAGGGAAATATTGCAACCTCGTCCAATAATTCTACACACACTACACTAAAATGAACTGTACCATATAATCGCACTTATTCAACTCGACCAAGATCAGTTTTCAATCAACGACTCTGCATTACAAAGATTTCAAAACGTCATGGTTGATTTAGTGAAATAACGATGTACGGTTCGTTACACACAAGTATGAAACTGTACATAAGGTTTATGAATTTGTACGAACTGTATAGAAAGAAAAGTAGAGGAGTTGTATCTGCCCAGTAATAGAATTTATTGTAGAACCTCCTTCTGCATTTCTAATTTCTTTAGGAATTTTAGCTTAGTAGGGGATGCGATCTTGCTTTTTCCCAGCTATAATCCAGTCATAACATCATTTAATATTCATATTAATCAAAACTATAAAAAAAATTCACGAATCTGATTGGTTGCCAACGGGCCGGATTATGGCCTTAATAGAACAATGTACGCACCAAATTTATCTACGTGACGGAGCCGGAAAAACAACTTGTCTAGTGCCATCAAACTAAATTAAATTAAATAACCCCTTGGGGGGCCCGCGGACGCGCTCCTATAAAACAAAATACCGTGTTTGACGTGGGCGGGGCTGTGCGGGATGACGTGGGCGGGGCTGTGCGGAATAACGTCAGCGGGTCCGGAAAAAGCCATCTTGCCCCGCACACATCAACAATTCATTAGCGCCCGTAAGACTGATCATTGACAAAGTTTCACGTCTTGGCAACAAAGTCAAGCTCAGAAAAGGTGGTGTGATTTAATACCAATTGATGTAAATTAGGAGGGGTCGGGTGGAAAAATATTTGATTCTTGGTCATTTTGCAAGGGCCTCACTGCGCTTGGTCCGTACACTATAACCTCAAGCGAAATACTTTCCCGTGCCGTGCACCAAACAGTAATAAGCTCATTTTGTAATTTACTATATGGTAGCTCCGTGAGCGGGCAAGATGAACATAATCGTACGCTGTGATTGGCAAGTTGGCACTACCTTGCCCGCTCGGGACTACCCGCTGTCCCGCAAGAAACATTTCGCTGAAAGCCATGTAATAGATCCTTTATTGACCAAGCTTGTTCGGCCAAGATGGCTGAAAGTAACTTGGCCGATATCCAGCCATCTTGACCTCACGCTTGGTCAATAACCCATACATTATCATGACTACATGGAGTTTAATACAAGACTAAAACAAACGTCGCTAGTAAGATTCAAGCCGAGAACTTCACGTGAGATCCGTAAAGGGCTCTGATTGGTTGATACCACTCTAACTGTTCAATCCGAGATTACATCAACAAGGCTCCGACCTCCACCCCACTCCCCCTCGGCCACTTCAGTCTTCGCCAGTTCCTTCTCGGTCCTTTCAGCTGCGGACAGACCCTTCCAGCGGAGCCTGTTCACAGGCTGTTGGTGAATGGGATAAACTCGCGATAAGAAAGATCTGTTTGCTTCGACTTCGGGATTACAACTTTCATATACTGAACTCATATCGATCACAGCACAACATCTGTAATAACCAGCGCTTTGTCCTTCTTCAAGCGGACCCTCATAAGCTTGAAGTACAGCTGAACTCGTGTTCAGGCTCTCAGAGCCCAAGGTAATTCGCCGCATTAATTGCGGGCTTATTTCTTCGGTTAATGTCATGATTGTAAAGACAGTTTTAATATGAAACACCCTTATGTACTTTGAGAGTTCGTTTTCATAACATTGCAACTATCTTTTCAACATTTCAAACAGCACGTACATTTCAAAACGGCTACCGTTTAACTGACGCGGTTGGTTCCGGTAAGTGGAATTCAGGGTTGTCGAAAATCAAATTCCTGCGGCTTGGAGGCCCGGTCCTGTCTGGCGTGGAAAATGTTAAGGATAAGCTACAGCAATGCAGCACAAATTAAGTACAGGCAATGTCTGCGTTCAAGCCTAGTGGCCCATCAGGTTAGCCTGCGGTAAAACGTCTGCCATTTCCTTCCACCCGGAAAGGAAATAGAGAACATCTGCGAGTAGGGTACAATCAGGCCGGCGCTGGCTGCAACATGAAGCGACTAGGATTATTTCTAACCCCCTCCCCCCCCCCTTCCCTTGGGGGCCTCTCATATGAAAAGGTCGGGGATGCTAGTCTTCTCCCGTTGGGGTGTAACTCGCGGATTTTCGTCTCACTTAGAGGAGTTCAGGGCGAAAGGCCATTATTGGTAGGGTGCACTCGAAGAAATCATAACAAAAAAACCCGTTGTCATTTCCGTTTTAATATCTTTTAGGGGTCAAATAAAGCTCTAGGCAGCCCAGATAGGTCTCCTCTAAAGGCTTAAATCGCATTTTCCGACAAGCATCGCCGACCTTTTCACATCAGTGGAAGTTCCCCCGGCCTACACCCCTCCTGGACGTGAGGCTAGTGTATCACAGGGTTTAAGGTCAGGGTAAAGGGACCGTAGTCGCGGTTGGGGTGGAAACTTCAACTTCAATGCGCCGTACAGTTCCACGCCGTGTGCGCGCAGATGTGCAACAAACTTAGTGTGAAGCTGTTTGAAAGTGGTCCGTCACAAAACTCAAAACACTGGTTTTTTTTTTTACACAAAAAGGATATTTGTGAAGAAGCTTGAACATTCCAGTTCCAATACTCATGGGAATTCCCATAATAATACACTCACTGACACCTGCAACACAAAGGCATTATGATCCTCAGCAAAGGAGCTCACTCACGGTTTTTTGAGTAATTTTTGGCCACGTACAAAATTACTTTTAATTTTAAGGAAACCTGAAACTAGTAGTTTACTAAGATAGGAAAACTCCAGAGATAATATTAAACTATAAAGGAACAAGGATGGTTAAGGATGGAGAAGATTGACACGGATTACAAACGACGAACTTGAAAAATTGAGGCTAAATTTTTGAAGATGCCATTGCCCAAGGCGCAACGTAGCTCCTTTAAATAATAATAATAATAATAATGATAATAATAATAATAATAATAATACTGATAATGATAATAACAATAATAATATTAGTAATAGTAATAGTAATAATAATAATAATAATAATAATAATAACAATAATAGTCATTTATATAGCGCTTTTTCCATAAATGTCCAAAAGCGCTTTACAGTGTGCGTACTAAAATAAAATTTTAAAACCTGAAACAAAATTTACAGGTTCATCACTGGTATAAAACTTATTCTACGTATTGAAGTACTATTAATAACTACAAAAGATTGGCATACGCCTGTCGAAAAAGATACGTTTTCAACTGTTTTTTAAAACAATCTAAAGAGTTCCAAAGAGATGGCGCGGATACCGACAATGATCTATCACCATACGAACGTAAATAATAATGTGGTATTTTCAATTTCTTATCGGGTGAGGATCTAAAGATGAATGGACCTGTATTGCTACAATGGTCACTCAGTGTTACCCATGTGTTATTAACTACACAGACACCAGACTTCGGTTTTACCACTCGCCAGTTTAGAAACGGGAAGAAATCTGGGCGGGTTTCATCTTGCAGTGGCTTGTGGGATCGTTGACAATAACAGTCCCACAAGCCACTGCGAGATGAGACTTGCCCCAGCTTTCTTCTCGTTCCTACAGTGACGAGTAGACCTCATCACTGTTTTGGAAGAGATCTTGGGCAACACGCGTACAAAATTCAGTGTTTGCATGGGAATCCGATGGTAAATAATTTCTTAACGATTGAATTATAAACAATTCATGAATAGCAAAGTTAAGATCCAAGGCAAACGACTGCATTAATCATGCAAATTTGAAGAATGTAGCTGCCTCCAGTCGCTATTTCATTTTCCATACATTTGTCTATGCGTTTTTTTTTTTCGCTAAATTGTAAAGCCGCGTGAAAATTTAAAGGCAAAAGTATGGAAAATTATAAACGCGACTGGATGCTTTCTAGCACAGCTGCATTCCTCAACGTGGTTTGCGATGCGTTTTACGGGATGAAGTAAACCACACAAATCTTGTTGTAACTCGCAGCAGGTATAAAAGTTTTTTCGTACCATCAATAGAGTCGGTCTGACCGTGTAGTGCGGCATCAAACAAATGATCTGAAGTCTTCTCGAACTATAAAGGAAAAACGAGTTTTAAAAATCTGATAAATAAACTGATTGACCTGAAAAAAGTTGCATAAGCAGCAAAACAGGCAGCTTTGTGAGGTTCTTTAAAAAGTGCGTGACGAACGTGAAACACGCGCGACCGCGCCTCTCGCCGGGCAAGTCTCGCGTTTCGCGTTTATCGCGCGCTATACGAATACTTAACAAAAGCTCCTGCTAGAAAGAGTATTATCAATGGCTAGATTAGATTTAGATTATTTTACAAGGGTAAACTTACAGAAGCAAGCATAAGTACGCTCTCCTTCATCTTTGCTATGCCGAACCTTGTTATACCCAGTACCTCTCCCTAGGGAAAGAAAATCATTATTATCAACAGCACGCGCGAGAATTCCTCCCGAGTGCCTCTCGTGTGTTTTAATGTTCCCAAACGCTAAAGTTCAAAGATAGATCGTAAGTCCTGTTGTTGAAGAAGCCATGAACCATTCACGGTTTAAAAGTTTTAATTGTCTGTGTCTTCTAGCGTTTTCTCGGTGACCCTGATTTCTGACAGAATCGCCCAAAATAAAGCATACTTCATAGTGATGTTAATCAAAACACTTTACAGTCACTGTCCCGTCTTGCCATCCATGAATAGAAACACTGAGATTCCGGCCGGAAAACTGACATAATATTGCGGTGGTGAAAATCAATAAAAATCCCGCGCCGGTCGCTGGAAAACTCTTTGTGACTGAAGTGTAGGTTCAAACCTTTGTGCAAACCTTCAACCAAGGAGCTTTTTTAACAGAACCAAGAAAGCGATGAAAATGTATTTAAAGCTACGAAAGCCAGAAAAAAAAGGACGAGCTGTGTCGGCCACTAACAGCTAGAAGCTTGTGGAGCAGCATAGATCAAACAAAACACTATAAAACAAAAATAACATACAAGAGAAGTCCAACTAGCGATGCCTTTTCATTGCAAATAGCACTCGTTTTTGTCCGCGAAAACTCAGAAATCGCGTTTCGACAATACGGTCGGCACACAGTTGGGGAAATGTTGCGGGGGACGTGTAGCGGGAACGTGTAGCGGGAACGTGTGGCGGGAACGTGTAGCGGGAACCTGTAGCGGGAACCTGTAGCGGGAACCTGTAGCGGGAACCTGTAGCGGGAACCTGTAGCGGAAACGTGTAGCGGAAACAGTCCCCTTTGTGTGTATGCATAGATCTGATGTTGCGGGGAGAGTACGCAAGGTGGTGAACACAAAGCGGACATTGGTTCATTTCTACGTTGTAGCAGGAACAGTTTGCAAGAGCAGTGCACATGGTGTGAAATTGAAAACTGAGGTAATTTTGTCCCTGTTTCATGACGCAAGCTTTCGAACCAGCTAAATTTCATTTGCGGGGAAAATGTAACGTTTTCGCAAAACCGGGGATCACACGAAGAATACCGTCCCCTAGTGTGTGCAAACCTTTAGTTTTGGTTACATTTTCTTCGTTTCTTTCAGAATTGAAGTTTGTTTTGTATCTTTTGGTATCAGAGAGACCTCGGAACAAACCGACTGCTACTCCGTCCAACACGTTACCTTAAACGTCATGAGGTCTGCCAGTAACATCACGTGACGTGCATCGATACTCATCCCGTGACTCTTCATGGTCATGTTGATTTCATTCATTATCGTTGCCCTGGTAACAGAGAAGCAGACACAAAGGATATCTATTTAGTAAATAAATGCTATAGTGCATGTTAGGTAAAACGAATCTGTCCTACCTTCAATCTGGGGATCGCAATGGGTTCTTTGGGTAATAAACATCTGTTATGAGGGCCTCCCAGGGGGAAGAGGGGGGGAGGGTCCCTTGTTACTTATTAATAAATTCCATTGTTCATTAAGAATTTTTTTGTCAAAGTTCCTTTTAATAATAGAGATATCTCTTGTTCTCTCATATTAATCCCAAAAATATCCCTTGTTCCCTTGAAATAAGTGATCATGTACCCTTGTTACCCAAAACCCCTGAGAGGCCGTCTTTTATGAGGCACAGAGAAAACAAAGTTATGCCCTCTTTGACTTAAAGTCTTCAAAACGAAATTCAGCATTTTCCACCCGCTGTTTCCCAAATGATGAAAACAAACTACATGCTACTGGGGATAGTTTCAATGAGAGTTAGAATAATTCGAACTTTACACATTTTGCCACTAGGATGACCAAAATATGGCAGGGCGTAACTGAAATGTCGGATTATCTGAATGTTGTGCTCTAGACGCACCCAGGTGCCACAGGCGACTGAAAAAACTTAATGTTCTTGGTTAGGAACCTTTGGGCTCCTTGTAATTTTTCTTAGACCACAGCTTTACTAGTCAGGTAATCTGAATAATGCATTTTATTGCCGCTTTTTGCCTCTGTTTGGTAATGCGTCCTGTGCGAAAACACTCAATTGAACATGTGTTTGATTTGCATGATAGTGACGTAGTGAGTAAAAGTGGTTTCCATATGAAAGGTTTTACACCAAGACTCGTCTTGAAACTGAGGTAAAATAAACCTATTGTTAAAACTGAGTTTTAAACATCTCCCAACCTGGCAGCTTCGATTCCAAGAACTTTCTCCACTTCAGCCGTGTTGTTGGACGTGGTTGCTGTGCCTTTGACGCCTACAAATAAAAACTATAATTATCATCCAATCAGGAGAAGGAGACACTGTGTGGCAGGCAGGTGATGAGAAGAAAGAATATTATCAACTGGGGATATTGCCTTGATATAACAGAAAATAAATATTCACAGAACACAGAAGTTCTCTTCAAATCAACAAGTTAAGAACAATTGTTTTTCAAAACTGACCAACAGTGGACATTACAGACAGCAAATCATCGCCTTCCACCAGCAGCTTGTAGGTATCTCCTTGAGCCTCGTCTACATGAATTATGGCGCGGTTTACATTTTTATGACCCTAAAAACATGAGAAAAAAAAGGAAAAAAATAAAATAAAATAATATCAGTATGACAGCCATGATAGCGGTTATCATCCAAAGACTGGGCTAAAATACAATGAGTCCCGCTCTGACCACTAAGCTGGAGTTGTTCCTCGCTAGACCCTAGTTCAACTCCTCGGTCATGCTTGTAAATAGCCAACTGGTCTGCCTCCCGCCAGTTGGGATTTTTAGGTCTATTATGTTTATTTGAAATATTTCTTTGGCACGCTTGACAACTAGCTAGTTGTAGCTAAGTCCATCGACCACTATAAACATTCAACAACAACAGCGGTGTTCCTCAAAGACTTTCATTAAAGCGAAGCCAAACGCGAATAACAGTATACAAGAGATGATTAAAATCACGCAACGCGCGACGGAATAAAATTATCATGGACTCGTGAAACTTTGAACAGGTTCTAAAAGGTTGGATGCGAGATGAGAGCGCGCGAGAGGGTCATTTTGGTGTTCCAAAACAATGAAACAGCGGCCATGTTGGGATTTCTTATCAATCCTGTGGGAGTTGAACTCTTTTCTTATGTAAACACTTTCTTTTGTTCTAATAAATTAGCATGGTTGCTGGCCACGTGAGTGAAGACGCTCTATTCGAGGGCATGAGTTTGAGCTCTCGGCTTCCCTCATCCTCGTTTGGCCGTGCTTAAAGAAGCTCAGTCACGGTATTCCGAGTAATTTTGGCCATGTACAAAATTACCTTTAAATTGAAGGAAAACTGAAAATAGTAGTTTGCTAAGATAGAAAACACTGAAGAGATAATAATAAACCATAAAGGAACAAAGATGGTTAAGGATGGAGAAGATTAAAGCGGATTATAGACGACGAACTTGAAAAGCATATGCTAAACTTTTCAAGATGCACAAATCGCGAAGTAGCTACTTTCAGACAAAAGTTAAAGGTTTGCCGCTCAGCTAAGATACCTTGATGAGCACATCAGGCAAGTCTGTCTTGAGCTGCTGCATTGTGTAATGTAGAGAGGACTTACTGCTCTCACTTGGATAAATACAGAGCTCGGACTTGCTGAGGGCTGTCACTTGCTGAAAGAAAAACACCCGTTATTAACCGGTCGACAAGTACGGTACATCCCTTCTCCACTCCGCACAAAATTACACTCTAACTCTCTACGAAATGTAGGTCTAAACTCTTTAAGACCCGTCCTGATCATGGTTCTGTTAAGAACAAACATTCTGTGTTTTCAACGAATTGAAAAGTCCTCGCCTACTGACTTGTGTACGTGGTTCACTAACTGGTTCACCCGGTTCACTTGCTGATTCAAGTGGTTCACTAAATGGTTCACTAACGTTCAATTACCCGTTTAGCTCATCCACTAACCGGTTGAACTGGTTCGCTAACTGGTTCAGCCGGTTCACTTACTGATTCAAGTAGTTCACTAAATGGTCCACCAACGTTTACTTACTATTTTAGCTGGTTCACGGTAACTGGTTCAACTGGTTCAACTGGTTCAACTGGTTCAACTGGTTCAACTGGTTCAACTGGTTCAACTGGTTCGCTACTTATTTCTTAGTGGTCTACTTAGTCGACTAGGATGCTACCCATGGTCAACCCTGACCGACGGAGGCCTACTACTACTTAGTACATCTACAAACATGTTCACAAGCCATCCATACCGAGGGTTTCAGTTTAAGTTTTCTTGTACTGCAGATAGCAAATCGTATGGAGTCCACGTCAACTTCGAGCTGTTACAAGGAGAACAATAAGAGACAGTAGAAGTAATGAGCAGCGTGGAAAACTAACCCTAATTTAGGAAAAGCTCACTAGCCCCTTCTCTGTTGTTGCTCTTCCCAAGATGATACGGCGGCAAGACAGTTGTGAACCGAAAAAACAGAAAAAACAGTAATTTTCCTGTTCGTTTATCACTGTCAAAACAAACACGAAACTACACCTGGAATACAGCGATAAATTTGAAATAGAAAAAAAAAGTTAGCCGTTGTCACGGCGGTTCACATTTTCCAGATAACACAGAATTTAGTCATCTGACGTTGTTGCTTTGTAGAAGACGGAAAAGAAATGTACCAAGAATACGTGCACAGCCAATGTTCTGCTGATTAAATATTGACATTATGTCGAACACGTTTGGTGTTTTACTTTTTTAACCATTTTTAAACATTTTTTAGTCTTGTACATATTTTGTCCTTAAATCTTGTGTTTAGCGACTTTCCCGTTTCCGTTGCCGTCCTGGTTTTCTTAAACTCCCTATTGTCTAATTAAACAACTGCACACATCAGTCAAGTTGAAGTAATCACCTTTCTCGTGTACATACATTATCTTGTGTTCATACAATTTGTCACCTGAAACCCCTTACACGTATGATCGCAAGTCAACAGGTCATCTGCTAAGTCAAACCTTGTGTGGCAAGATAACCAGCCCTGAGCATTTTTCAATTAAACCAAGTGAACACTTAGAGTTGAACTAAGTAAAACTCCTTGACTAACGGCACATTGTTTATCCTATGTCGCTGACGGATCACGTTTACAGTTTTGTCTTTTATATTGTATTCATCTTCTTTACAAGGTCAACAAAATACATATATTTAATATTACAGTGACATAATTCAAGTGACCGTCTTATCGAGCCTCGGGACCCGTTCGATGTTTCCCGCTCTCACCGCGAAGTAACGTTTTCCCGCGCTTATCATCGTCAAAAATTCCTCTATGATTCACACTTGATAAAACATTCCCGCACTTGGCAACCGTTAATATTTTCCCGCGCTTGCCGACTGTTCAATGTTTCCCCGCGCTTGCCACCCGCTTAACGTTTTCCCGCAATCTCTGCCCGTTTCACGTTTTTCCCGCTTGCCACGCGTTACATCTTTTTCCCCGCTTACCACCCGTTCAAGGTTTTCGCGCGCTTTTCACCCGTTCAAGGTTTCCCACGCCTATAAACTACCTGTAACATATTTTCCCGCGCTTGCCACACATTTCATGTTATCCTGCGCTTGCAACCTGCTACACGCCGTCTTACCCTTTGCCACCCGCTACATGTGATCTTGCACTTGCCACCTGTCACATGTTTTTCCGCTCTTGCCGCCCGTTAAAGCCCTGACCAAACAAAAAAAGGAGGGGACAAAAGTTTGCCACACGTTACTTTTCTTCCCGCGCTTTCCACCCGTTACATGTTTCTCCGCCTTTGCCGCCCGTTAAAGCCCTGACCAAACAAGAAAAAGAGGGGACAAAATTTTGCCACCCGTTACTTTTTTCCCCGCGCTTTCCACCCTTAAAATGTTTCTCTGCCCTTGCCGTGCATTAAAAGCCCGGACCAAACAAGAAGAGTTGAAAATAATTTGGCATTTGTTACTTCCCACCCGTTACCTTTTATTACCGCGCACGACACCCGTTACATGTTTTCCCGCGCTTGAAATCCGTAACCAGTTTTCCCGCGCTTGCCACCCTTTCCATGTTGTCCCGCACTTGCCACCCGTTCCATGTTTTCCCGCACTTGCCACCCGTTCCATGTTTTCCCGCACTTGCCACCCGTTCCACGTTTTCCCGCGCTTGCCACCCGTTAGGTGTTATTCCCACGATTGACACCCGTTACAAGCTTTCCCGCGCTTGAAATCCGTTACATGCTTTCCCGCGCTTGCCACCGGTTACACGTTTTCACGCGCTTACCATCCGTTTTTCGCAGTGTTACCAAAGCGTTCTACATCAACTTTCAATTGGTGCAATGGACCATTTGTTGCTATAATGATTTTCAGTGCGATAACTTTGGTTTACTTGTGCAACATCCATTGAATAATAGCTCTGCAGTTCATACTCCTATTAAAAGGCTTACCTTAAGCAATTTGATCCTGTCCATCGCCAGTTTGACAAGAATAAAACAGCTGTCAGGCAGGAAAACTTCTTCGATATACTCTGAAACCTGTCAAACAAGTTTAACTGGTCAAACACGTCATGATAAGGTCTATGCTGTCCTCAGACTGCTCAGTGCAAGATTAGCTACGTAAAAAATGAATTTGTTAATCAGTACATGGTTTGAACCCAGGAGTATCATTGGTTCGAATAGTGTGATCGTCCGGGTGAAGGTAGTTCTGAAAAGAACTGTGGTTGGTGACTGATGCTTCCACAATTCAAAGAGGACTTTCCCTCAGGTTGTCGAAACGGTCACCAACAACAGCTCTTTTTACAACTACCCTCGCCAAAACGATCACATTATACAAACAAATGAATTTATTGTTTGTTAAATTCAGGGGCTAGAGGTTACTCAACCCCCCCCCCCCCTCCCCACTCACAGTTTACTAGTTTTCGCCATACCTCTCCTAGTAGGGTTTTCTCAACCCGGCCTTTGACCCCTCGTGCCTCGTCAGCGTTTTTGTCATTCATAAGCTGCGCGGAGATGATTGGAGTGCTAATGGACCGAGATGCGTTGATGATTTCCTTTATACGAGGAACGCCAAGGGTGATATCTGGCTTTATTAAGAAAACAAACTAAGCCTGTATGCATGGTTTCCACAGGCAGGACGTTTCAAAATTCCCTGACTTTTCCCCAATAAAATAAACTTTTCTGGCTTTCGCCAGCCACAAATTTTGCCGAAACACTAAACTGTTTAGGTCTCCAATTTCTCGGCAAGCTTTGGCACAATCAATCGTACAACGTTCATTTAACATTTAGAGACTGAAGCGTTTGTTTTAACTCGATCGGAGACTGAAGGAAAGGTTCCCCAACAAAGACACACGAAAAAAAAAACGCAGCAAAGTAACTCTGATAAACTAGTCTGAAACGCCAAGTGAACACTGGGAAGAGTTTGTTGTGAGCCAATTGGAACTTAGGATTTCGATGACGTTTGCGAAGAAATTCCCGCCTTCTTCGCGTAAGCGCGAAGAGCAAATTTTAAATTTTCTTGGACGCTTTTGCAGACGGTTTTTTCGTTCCTAGTCCGTCTCCATCTTGTCCAATATTTAGGGGTTTTCTTAATTTGAAGACTATTTCGTAAACTGTGACCTTTATCAAGGATACTCATTGAAGCGACTCCAGCGAAGTGAAACGTCTTCAGAGTCATCTGTGTTCCAGGCTCCCCAATACTCTGAGCACACAGGGCACCCACTGCTGTACTGGGCTCAATCTTTGCTCTTGAGTACTTCTCCTTACAAAGGCTCAGGAACTGCTTCAGTTGGGACTTGGTACAACGGTCTACCCATGACAACACTAGCAGAAAAACGGAAGTAGAGTGACTTCGATGTTTTTCACTTCCGGTCTGCGTTGAAAGGTAGCTAAATTTTCTTTAGAAAAGGGATTAAAAGTCATTCATATACAGGGAAGCAGTCGTATTTATCGAATGAACAAGAAGCACAGTTACCTACCCTTAGGAAGGTTATTCGTTTCAGACGCACTGGAACAGAAAGGAATTATTGGTCATAATACAGATAATTCATAAAGTATAACCTTAACTTTAAAGGGGCTAAGTCACGGTTTGCGCATATTGAAAAGCTTAGCCTCAATTTTTCAAATTCGTCGTTTGTAATCCGTGTTAATCTTCTCCATCCTTAGTCATCCTTGTTCCTTTATGGTTTATCATTATCTCTTTGGTGTTTTTCCACATTATTAAACTGTTATTTTCAGGTTTCCTACCATTTAAAGGTAATTTTTATGTGGCCAAACTAACTCAAAATACCGTGACTGAGCTCCTCTAAGCGGTTTTAAATGACTGCTGCTAACCTGTTCATGCTCTGAAATGAGTAACTACACGCTATTAATAAATTTGCAAATCGATTAAAGTAGCTTCATTCGAATGTCAAAAAGTTATTTGCACCACTTTGCTGCACACGATTGGCTTATAAAACTCGCGCCACTTTTTCATCCAATCAGAAGTAAAACCAAAACCAATCGTCCCTCGCTCGCACACGTTTTCCCGCGCTTTGCGTCAGCTACATGTATCTATCGAGTTTTGATTGGTTATTGGTTCACTGGATTTTCGCTGTCCTTTGTGATTGGCCAAAGTGATTACCTTGGGTTTGGTTTTACGACAGTCACACTCAATAGCCATTTCAGAGTTGACCTAAAAAAAAGGCCCGGTGCACAGCCATTCATATGAAAATGAGTTTAATTTGCATGTGAATGAAATCTCATTTTCATATGAAAGAGTGGGCATTAAGACTCGCTTTGAGAAAGAGGTTCAAGGTAATTCAGAAAAGACCTATTGAAAACCGCTCTAAAGAACTCTGAACTATACTAATATAAGTGCCTAACATCCCAAAGATTGATTACTACACAAAATTCAAGGTATAAAATGATGAAAGATGTTGGAAAAGTCAAATGCGTTTGTAAGGATAATTCACCTTTGCCGAAGATTAAAGAAATACCTGAGAGAGGAGTGAGCTCCCAGACCAAGCTGTCGATGCTTTGTCTCTACCTTTTTGGCAATGTCTTCCACGAATGCTCTAAATACAAACAAAAGAATACATGCTTTCTTCCAGTCGTGTTAAGAGTAACAAAGATTTAGCGTGTGTTGATCGGTCTAGGCATCATAGAGTCAAAGACAGAATGAGCTAGCAAATTTCACTTCCTGGTCAGCGACAGTTGCCAAGTAACAAGAGTGGCTTTGTCACCCCACAAGGAGTGGCTTTGTTACCCCACAAATAAGCCAATTCGATGCACCAAAATTCTAACTTAGCTCCGAGGTTTAGGGGAAAAAAAAATTATTCATCCGTCAAATTCGATGTGATTTCTTTTGTTTTGTTCGCCCAAGCCTCAAAGCCAAATTAGAAATTAGGAGATTTAAATTATGGGGAAATATCGTTTTTGTGATGGACAAGCGAGAAAAGGAACAGCAGTGATGAATATTTGTTATGAGCCCACACTTGATAATTTTTCGTTCGCGGTTCCTATTAACCAATCAAACCATAACTCAGGCACCCGTGAGGTCATAGGCATGCGACACGTTGCTTAGGAACAACGCTGACGAAAACCACGGGATCGTGTGATTTTTGTCCACACATTTCCGACCAAATTTGCATCAACGAAGCTCGCAAATACGTGTGCGGCAAGCTTTAAAACAAAAGCTCACCTTAAATCCTTCTTAAACTCAGTTCCACAGTCTTCAAATTCAGGTCCGTCAATAGCTGGTAAGGCGTCCTTGAGTATCTCCTCCGGAGTAAGTGGGTCTTCCTCTTTCATCGGCACTGAGCACTGTAAACACAATCAAAATGAAAAATAATTTTATGAGAACAATTCCAGACATTACATAAAATGGAGAACGGGTAGTCAAAGTTGAACAAGACTGTAACAGATTATAATGATCTCAACTTGATTTTGAATGTTTAACAGAGTGTAAGTGTGCAGATATGATTGATCATTGCAGTTTATATACACAACTTAAGCAGCTGTGAAATTAAAGCCTGAAAAAAATTCAGGCCTGAACGGGATTCGAACCCATGACCTCTGCGAAACCGGTGCAGTGCTCTACCAACTGAGCTATCAAGCCACCTGGGAGCTGGTCACGTTGTGAGTTCGTAATATACTCGTAGATGATGAAGATTCAAGTGAATATCTGAAGGAATATATACAGATTTAAATGTGGCGCATTATTTGCACTCTACTTCAGGAGTGGAGTTGGATAACAACAAAATGCTTGAGCTTTATATCACACAAGGAGCTGAGAGCAAAGTTTTCACCTGAACGTGGCTGAACACGCGATTGTAGTCCAGCGGTTTGTCCTTTCCCTCCATGTCAGTGGGATCCAGTCCGTCTCCTCCGTACATGAACTGTACAACGTCACCGACTGAATTCCTCACTGTCAGATCGTATTGGGTCGCCAGATCCTCTAACGACTGAATATCATATAACCCAAAATTAGAATTCTCTTTAGTCATTTCACAAATTTTCTTCACATCATCTTGAGCAAATTTGATTTTGTAGAGAACGCGAGAACCAGAGAAAGAACGCGAACCAGCGTATCGGAAACATATAAAGGTACAATTTGTTCAAGTGTAAAGACTGTGTGGCGCTGAACTCCGGTTTCTGTAGTAGGTAGCAGTTCTGCAGTTCTGTAGCACCGCTCCATCCTGGATGGAAGATTCAAAGCAGGTTTGCCGCCAACCCCCTCCCCAGGAAATTTTGTCAAGTTACCATAACAGTTCACCAGTCGGATGGAGAGAGGCATTGTGAGAGTCAAGTGTCTTGCCCAAAGACACAATACAATTTCCCCGGCCAGGGCTCGACCCAGGAATGCTCGATCCAGAGCACTAACCATGAGGCCACCGCCCCTTGACAAGCAAACCTGTCTTGAAACTGAGTTATTTTTGTAATAAGCACAAGCTAATAAAGGCCCAAATACCTTAACCAATCTCCTTTGCATGTATCCAGTTTCTGCAGTCTTGACAGCAGTATCCACAAGTCCTAAATGACAGATAAAATATTTGTTACATACTCTGTTTCCTGCATTTAGTGTCTCTCTTCAAATATAACAACCCTCTCAGAAAAAATAAAATTTGAAATGCAAACCCACCCTTCATCTTAAAATCAGTCAGCCGTTTCTGTTTTCTGTCACAAATAAGACTACATTGATGGAACACAAGTGAAAAACTGACTTGATTATCAACTTCTAGTTTCTCCCTACCATTCAAGCAAACAGGTTAAGGGAATTAAGGATCTAATCATCTCAGGAAAAATTCTTGATCAAAAATCAATTTCTCCCAAGATGAATTACAGAAAATAGGTGAACGCTATTAAGGAGAATTTATATGTTGATAATACCTTCTCTTCCAGCCATGGTGTGAAAGAAGAACTCCGTTGGAGTTAGCCCGGAATAGAAGCTGTTCTTTACAAATCCTTTCGCGGCGGGAAATTTTGCTGTACAGAAATACATTGAGAACAATGAACAATACATTTAAAACAAGAAATCAAATCAGTTATTAATGAGGCAAGGTTAATGGTAGATTGATTAAAAAATCGAAGCGACAAAATGCTTCGCATCTTTCTCGCAAAATAAAGCTAAAATTCAAACGAATGTTTCATATGAATTTTTTCTAGAGCAGTCACTTTTCCAAGAAAAGAGAAACCCCAATCAATAAACGGATGGCATGAAGGAGTCTTCAAGGTTAAAACTGCATTATTTTAGGGGAGGAGGTGGAAGGGGAAACAGGTCTTACAGTGTCGTTTGAAGTGAGGCAGCGCTCTGTCTTCAAATCCATTTGGAATTCTCTTGCCAGAGAT